CTTAGGTTCTCAACATTCAAAAAAGCCTCTTATGATTTGATGGGTTACTAGTCATTTATACAGTAGGCTGTTTTCGCAGAAGAATCTGCTCCAAAATTTATATTTGATGGCCTGGGTCACGTGCTTCCGAAGTAGCTGCTCTATAATTTCTTGAAGGATTCCTATCCCATTCACTAACGGATAAGGCTTGCTAGGCTCTAGTAATAAATTTCCATTACTAGGATAGCAACCTTGTGTATGGACTGAGTTGGTTCACAGTAAACGCTTATTAGACATGGGATACTGTAAGCCAAGAACACATACAGTCGGAGCAACTTATGTACTGCCGACTTGGCACACAATACATGTATATATACTTAACAGTTTATTAGACCTCCTGGTCAAGCACAATATGATCACTATCACAATATCGTCCGTTGACTACCCAAGTTTTACCTCATACTGCTTACAGACACCAAGATGCAGACAATCCTCTCGCAAGTTTGCCTTGGCCGCCTGTCATCTCCTCCTCCTTCCTTACCCACCACCAATATGAATACTCTTGTACGGAGTATCTCTCCTTACCTTGTCTTTCTATCCTCGACACCAACGCAGGATCCTCGTCCTGAAGCTGCCATCTCTATAACTTATTACTTCTGCTCGTCTCCACCGAACTAATTAGAATAGTTCGGAGCATCCACTTCAGAGTTAATTTGTCTCTAGATCTTGCACATCGCTATCTTTATCGGCCGTTTCATGCTTATTCCCTCCAGAGAAATTCTCTTGAGATACTGCTAGCCTGAAAGTCACATGATCCATGGCTCCCTGCTCATGTATATAAAATAGCCCTCACAACCTCTGCTCAGATACATAGAACGCTCTACACAATCATCATCACAATACACACTTTCAATTCATGTCATCTCTCTCTCATCACAGGCTTACAAATACTCTGTTGGAGTGGCAATCTCGCCATGCTGAATCGTCTGGTAGATCAGCTAGACTATCCAAGTAACATATTTACGTGTTGCATATACTTCTATACGTTTCTATATACTTCCGCTCTTTCCCCAAACAGATCATGTAATCACATGATCTCATGTATATATTCATCGCTCTTTTCATCATAGATAGAATCAATCCATTCGTTCCAAAGACAATATTTGTGAGCACTTCCGCATGCTAAATACAACCTCCATCATACTCTTGGCCCCCGAGTTCTAAGCTCAGTCTCCAGTCCAATGTTTTCCAAGTGCTTCCTTAGCTTTATAACTGCTACCCCGGCATGTGGCAGCTACGTCCTTGGTTAAAAACGCAGCACCCCGAGGGAGGTGTGAATATTTCGCACCGTACCTTATTAATAAAGCTGGAGTTTTAGGGCTCGAATTCGGGCTTGCAATTGAGAAATTTTTTTAAAATTCCCAGTGCGTGGTTCAATGACTGATCAGGCATAGCTTGGCTATTAACTATGAGAAACTGGTCGTTTACTATTTAATCTTATACTTCCCTATTAATTTGGGGGTGACTAAATGACAAGAAAAGGTGTATTTGCGACAAAACTTAAAGAGCAAGTAACACCACCTGATAAGAATTTTTGTCACTATCATCGTTTGCTCTATCGGTGTAGGTTGCAGTAGAAGATATTACCTTCAAATATAAATGGCTCGTTGACCATCGACCAAAGAGGATGGACTAGACTGGCGCCAAATTTTCCTTCCGTATGGAGTCGTCATTGGGCATGGCGATGATGAAGGCCATCCCAACCGCTGGCGAGAAAATCGCATTACGGGAGTTGTGAATAAGGGATCATATATTGGGTTTGCTTTCCTTTAAGTTGAAGTCTTTCCCATCCACATTATCACGCCGTACTAACTTGAATGTCAGTGGATGTTGGCTTTCGGGTCCTTGCGATTATCACTTGGATGATGAGGCACCGTCTTCATCTCTACTATAATTGTCTTACTCACTCCACTTGAGGTACAGTTTGCCAGAGCTGGGCCCAACTGTTGATTACTCGTCTTCTCATGTAAATAGGACGATCATGTTACTTTACGACCAAGACATTGGTCCAATTAGGAGTATTGGTATAGGTCTCAAAGACACAACGGTTCCTATCTTCGCTGCTGAATTCCCCTACGGAAATCTGTGGCGCCCTCGTGAGCTGGTAAACGTGGGCTGCATTCTGCATCGTCCTTGTCTCCTGTGTGAGCCTGGTCGTGTATACAATTCCCAAGTTCACCACAGCGACTTCAGATCGGCTCCCCATTTTTCCTACTGTGCAACTGACTGTCGGAATCTATTCCTGCCCAGGTACGGACGTATTCCCATAATACCAAAGCACAAGACTGATGGTTACAGAATCCCCCCGCTGATGTATCAAGAAAGACCGTTATCGAAAGGTATGCAACTATTTTCTTAAGCTCCAATTCAGTCCTGTCCAAGTCGCACGCGACATTTACCATATTTGACGCCCATTGAACATTTAGAGGTCTTGCGCATGCATGGAGGCACTGATCAATGATCCAGCCAGTAGAGAGCTTGATATTCTCTTAATACAAGAACTACCTACGACATTCTTCAACACCTTTGTACAACACCGCATGTGACAGCTACATACCCCAACTTATAATGGCGACAAGAGAAAGCGCACTGCTAGAGAGGTATCACTCAAATAATAGAAAAGAGATTGATGAATATTAGAAAAAAGAAAACATCTTCGTAGCATTGACTTGGCAACACTAGGCCTCCACACAGGTAACCTTTACGACAAGCTCCTGTGCAGCCTGGCTCACCTACTTGCTTAAATGAGGGCTGGCCACTGCTGGCTGAATCAACATCGCAAGAGAATAGGATGTATTTCGGAGGACATATGGGAATGTAGGAACATTGAACCAGTTTCTGACGTTCTTACAGAGTTCATATTACTCCAGGCAGAACTGCACAAACTGGAGCAAGATACGGGGCTTAAAGCAGATAGTCTGTCCTTGGTACTAGGAGGCAAGCCTCCTAAATAACAGAATCAGGCCAAAACACTAGAAGCAGCAAATGGAAGATTCTCTGGATAAGCACTATATTCTCCTTATTTCATGCTACTATTTTAGTTCCGTATGGGTATCCTGCTCTGGACGACTTGTCACAAGAAGATGAATGTTTCTTTGCTTAAGTTGAGAAGTTCTTTGGCTCATTAGCACGGTCCCTCTGTTGAAGACCCTAACCGTGCATATCATTCTTCAAGAGCATCTAGAACAATCCGGACTTCCTCGATATGCTTTATCATTTGACAAAGAACTTCGCGAAGTGGTTCACAGCTGAGCTGACGGCGCCCATCTTCATGAAAGGAACAGAGCAAACCCAGCTAGTTTTGAGTGTCTTCGCTTTTGTGATGAAGTTGACTGATAAGGAACCAGAGCACGTTTTCAAGTGTCTGCTTGCTAGTGTCATTGAAGTCGAAGTAGAGTGGGATTTGAGCGGGACGATTCTTCTTACAATCTTCAATAACAGTAGAGCTGAGAGCTACCTTGCCATATGCGTGAATGCCATTAAGCTGCAAGAAAGAGTTTTGCCGTCTCTTCCCACTTCCAAATGCTGTCTGCTGCGACGACCACAATCCTGTGTTCTATTGGCGTTGCTGCAATGCTTCATTATAGTTTGTTAACGGATCGCACGGCGACAGCCAACCATCGATCCGCTCTCGTCTCTGCTAGTAATGCGTTTGGTATACTTCTTTTTCAACTCTTTTGCTGTTAACCAGAATTTTTACAATCTGCTGAACTAACTAACCGGAAGAAAGAACCTAACTAATGCTTTTCTCGGCCTCGACCTTGTTTGGTGGAACCGCTAAAGAATATCCCTCGCATTCGTCGCTGCCATCATTGCCACATAGCCTACTATTCTTTATTCTTATGGGTGTCAGAGTGATCACAGATACCGAGAATGACCAGACAAGGGAATTGGTTCATCAGTCGGGCTGCTTCCACCTCGAAACATAGGATACCATTCTCATTTGCCAGCGTATTCCAAATCATGGCTTCCTTAATGGGTTCGCTGGAGCACGCAGACCGTAGCAAATTGCTAGATTATTCTCACGTTCGGTTCGTCTATCGCGGAGCATCAGATCTGACGAATTACCACTACAGGCTCCTGCGCAATTTGCCTCGTTACGTAGGGGACGCTTGATGGGGCGCAGATACAGCGGATCATTGTCTGAACTTGACTTCCCGTATTTCTTCTATAGCTTTGGTTTCTCTTGTAAGATGCAGTCAACAGCTGCGTTAAACTTATGGCCGTCGATTTCGTACTACGCTTGGAGTGCGCAAGTTCTGTCGCCATGAGCGCAACTTTCTGAAAGCGCTGCTGTTACAGTCTTTGCAAGCTTCAGCATTGGTGATATCGTAGGGGATGTAGACAGGCGACCAAGCGCATGTTGTCCACTTTTCAAAGCTGCCTGCCGTCTCTCCACCTGCTTGACCATTTTCCCATGTTGGCCCCAGAAATAGTGCTCGAAGCTGAGAGAAGTGTTGTAGGGCGTAGATCCCCTAATTTATGTCAAGCACTTCATTAGGACTGGCCATGCCCTCTACCATCTTCCCGCGAGGAAGGTAGCGACAAGCAGCAAGCCTCAGAATACGTTCCGTCAACGTCGTTTCCTCCTTCTCCTTGAGATTACGGTTGTGGTTCGTGGTTCCGACGCGTGTGAGCGCGCTATTGAGTCGCCGTCGGAGGGTGTCAGCTTTCACGCGATCAATGACCGCAGCTTGCTTGATAGACGTAGTCTGACCATTTCTGTACGCATGTACAGCTAAGACGATGGGCACATGTTTGGTGTAGGAGGTGTGTTTTCGCAGTACCGGGTGACGGACTTGTGAAATACCTTAGTAGAACTAGGAATTAGATGAAGGATTACATTTAGGGATTACATTTAGAACTTCGGCACAAATTACAAATAGTGATTTATTATTTTGCTTTATAAAGGTTAAAATTTTAAAATTATTCAACAAGCAGTTCATCACGTGTTCTGTTTCGGGCTTGTGGTTTAGTGGTATAATTTTCCCTTAGCATCGAACCACGTGGGAAAGGTCCTGGGTTCGATTCCCAGCAAGTCCATCATTTTTGGCCTTCCTTATCATAAAAACTAAGGGACAACAGTTTTTTGCGTGCGAGAGTGGTTGGAGTTGGGATACGAGATAAAAAAGTTCCAATTACTGAAACCGGATACCGTAAATCTGAATTCCTATCATGAATCTCGATCTTTTTCATATAGTAGCTGCCTTCTAGTTCTGGCGGTGTTACATCCATCTAGGTAATACCGGCTGCACCTGTTCCATCCATGTATTCTCTCTCAGCGCTGAGCTTCCTTGCGGGCGTCGCTTTTCCACTGATCACTACGCTCCGCTTTCCGCGGTTCTACATATCCAAGAGTAAAATCTCCTAGCAGAATCACGTTGATTGTACGCCGAGTTAGGATTCGCCTTTGAATAGCAGACCGGCACCACGTCTTGCACTCTCCGTAACCTCAATAACCGCTCTACTAACCTCTTCCTTGCTTCTCACTGCCTCTTGATCCTTCTTACCAATAATCCTCGCAAACTCTAACGCCTCCTCTCTAAGATTTAGATGCTCCCTCTCCCCCCCAAAACTCTCTTTCTCCTTGCTCTTAGCGTCCCAGTAAGTAACCTTCTCTATATCCGTAATCGTTGGAATAGACAGCGTGCCAGTGGACCCAAAGACTTCCGAGGGGGAGGATGAGTTGAACAGTTTAGATGCAGTAATCGTCACAGTGAAAGCCTCAGAATCTTTGGGATGGTAATGCAGCAGTAAAACCCCGGCACCATCCGCACCCGTAGAGACCTTTGTGGGATGATACTCCACCCTTTCCGGAGCTCCCAAAAGTTCGACCGCAGCAGAAACACAGTATACACCGAGGTCCACCAGACATCCGCCGCCAAAGTTGAGATCAAAGACATTCGGCTTCTCTCCCTTTTCTAGGGCGCCGATTTTGGAGGAGTATTGGCAATAGGAGAGATTGGCGCCTAGGATCTTGCCAATTTTTGGGAGGGAGGACTTGAGGGCGATGAAGTTCTTCTCGTGAAGATGTCTAAAGGCTTCGAGCAGGAAAACGTTGTTCTCCTTCGCAACTTTAAACAACTGGTCTAACTCTTTCAAATTGTTAGCAGCGGGCTTTTCAACAACAACATGTTTCCCAGCTTCGAGCATTTGTTTTGCGTGGGCGAAGTGGAGGGAGTTTGGGGAAGCGATGTAAACAACTTGTACATCTTTATCTTTTGCTAGGGCATCGAGGGAGTCGTGGATGGCGATGTTGGCATTGTTCTCTTCTGTATAGGCTGTATGCTTCGCAGCGAAGTGTTTCGCAGTCTCGGCCTTCCTGGAGTATATAGCTCTGAGCTGCCACTGGGACGTGCTGTGTGCAGAGGTAATGAAGGAGGCGGTGATCCAGGAGGTGCCGATTGTTGCGAAAGGGATTGGAGCCATGTTGAGTTGAGTGCTTGGTTTCTACGCGACAAGTGGTTTTGATTTGAGTTCAAAATGGGAGAACTGGCTGGTTTGATGGAGTGGGAAGAGCTGTGGTGAGGCGTTGTAGAGCTCCAGAAATTTCGAGCTTAGGAAATGGAGGGGTGAGGTGGGGGTGGTGAGAGGTTTCGTCATCGGAACGGGACTAGTGGAGCTGGTGGAGAGCTACTATTTAAAAGATTCCCCCCTTTGCTGATTGATCATTATACAATCACCGCTTGAATGCTTGAAGAAATAGCCTATACCCATCACGATGAGAAGCAAAAGAATCGTATGATATTCGCTTTCATCGGATCCGCAGCTGTCTAGCCACCTATCCAAAAAGCATCCCCTACCAACTCTGGGGTCAGGGTATCATATCTGAAATCTACATCTGATGTTCGCATTGTGTATGCTCCCCAGGCAAATATATGTTGTGAATGCACCATTGGAAAAACACCGATCCGCCGATATGGTCTTCCGTCGTTCCCCATATGAACAATCCTCTTCCTATCCACCAAATCGGACGCCGTGGAACGAATGTAAGAAAGGAAGGGGGTATGAGTGTTGCTGCATGCAACTGAAAGAGGGAAAAGAAACCAGAAACACGTGAGAAAACGCGTATAATAAAAACCACCCATAGTATGCACAGCTGTACACACCCGCGATAACGCCGTAGAATGCCGTATGCCAGCCTGAAACGTCCGATAATGCAGTGGTTAGTGACAGTATGTGTCGATGTATCGAAAGACAACCCCATAGAAGCCCCCTTAGTTGCAAACTTCAAGCAGACTTTCAATCCTCCCAGATCGTCTCCAAATCCAGGTCACCCCTCCGTTCAGCTCCACACACACTCCATCTCTTCCGGCTGTCTCGCTTGCCAAATCCAGCTGATCGTCCACTTCCTGGAACATCCAAGCTGCTCCTTCGCGCTGGCTCCTCATCGTCTTCACCCCTCTCCTCCTTCTCTGCCGCAGCTTTCAACTTAGCAATGCGATCGGCCTCAATGGCTTCAGCTTCTGCATCCGGGATATCGGGGATCGTCTCCAGGGAGGAAATTGACGGGCTGCGCGACCGAAGAGACGTGGGTGTGCTCGGGACCGAAGAAGAGGCGAGCGAAGACGGATAATGAGCGTTTGCTCCTGGGAACGGCTCGTTGAACTTGGAGGCGGCTAACAGCGGGCTGGAATGCACAGAGGAGGTCGGAGTGGTGGTCATGGGCGCAGTACCAAACGGAACAGAGACATGACACAATGGCGAAGCTGGACGCCGCCTGTTGGCCCTCGGAAGAGAGTTTGTGCTGTTATAGATATTTCCTAGAGGAGATGACTGGGTGGGTTGACCGTATCCAGGTATGATCGGTACACCGCCAGCATTTGGCTTCAACTCCAGTTCCGCATCTTCAGAAATATCGCACACGCTTGGTGCTCCCGAATGTATGTACTGCTCGTCCGAGGACCGGAAGGGGCTTCGCGTACGCTTTGGCGATCGAAGAGGCGAGGACGGTCGAGCGAAGGGAATCGGAGAGGGCGAAAGGGAGAGGTGGCCGGCGGAGCTGATCACAGTAGGCAGAGAGTGTGCTCGCATCATGGGTGGCGCGCTGAGCGTGCTCGAACCGCTGTGGGAGCGGAAGTGACTGCGAGAATACGGCGAGCGATTACGAGGTCGAGGATGGGAGAACATGTCTGGAGAGGGGTCTGTCTGGCTGCGCGGAGTTTGAGGACGTGCAGCGTAAGGTTGGGTGTTTTCAGCAACTTCCAAAGCCTGTTGTGAGGGCGGCTCCTCATTGATCAGCGGAGGAAGGTTGGTGGCTTCGCTCATGTCGGTGGCTGGCGTTGCTGCAGAGATCGTGTTGTTGGTCGTCATTGCCTGCAGCTTCGTTGCGAGATCGTCGAGGGAGGGGTTCAACATAGGTAGAGGCGGAGGAGCAGAAATTGACGAAGAGGATGAGGTTGTCATGGTGCGAAGGAAAACCTAGCAGCAGCAAACAGTGAATTCATGACCCGGAATCGAGGCTTTCTAGCGGTCGAGGCCGTACGAAGTCCAGAGCTGTAGGTGTTGGCCACTGGAAGTAGGTGAAGGACGGCGAGAGGTAGCCTGCAATGCGCGTTTCAGCCTCGGTGACTGGCGGGAGGGAGCGAGCTCGTGTATCGTCCAAGCTGAGTAGCCGATACGGAAATTAACAGTTGGAGTGTTTGCAGAGGTCGAAGGCGAGCCGTTGCAAGTCTGGGAGTGAAGAGTACAGAGTAAACGTGAGAGAGAAGAGAGGAAGATAATATCGTCAGTCAGCGTGCATGAGAGTGAGAGTGCACCCGTGCTTTCGTCACCTGCTGCTGCCGGAAGGAAGGAGCAACACACAGCAACCTGGGCTTTGTTTGAGCAACAATAAAGACGATGCAAGCCACAATGTCCCCGTCTTTTAACAGAAAAGAAGGGGAAAAACGCTAGCTATTACAAAGCCTAAAGGACAGGACCAGCCGGAACAATCTACCCGTCTATACAAAGCTCGTTAGATCTGAGTGGTGCAGTGCCTATTACCCTCACTACCACAACTGCATACCCAAGTACATCCATATCATCCCTATAGTAACCCAGCCGCCGCCTACCTTAACCATCCTTCAGCCGCCGACCAAACCGCCAACCAAACTGCGCCCAAACGTACCTTCAAGTCCGTCCAAGTCGCATCCCCCAACGCTCTCGCGCGCAGCCGCATGCGCAGTTTCATGCGCCCAAATTTGGGGGCTGGCGTCGCTGGCGTCGCTGGCGGGTCTCAGCGCCCGTTACTCCACTAGTTGGACCCTGAAATTCAGGTTGAAGCGGGCTGCGCGGCCTGCGCGGCTTTCCCCTTTTCCGCCTGACCCACTCCGTCAAGGGGGTCGTCCACTGCGGGCCAGACCGCTTGGTGGGTAGTTATGTGAGCATTTGGGTAACGGGGGCTGCGTCGTACATCCATTGTGCAAAGAAAGGCATAGAGACAAAATGTTGATAAGCGCAACCCCAATATTTTTTTACATACAGCCCCAGCCCCACAAAAGAGATTTTTAAACAAAGACTAACAACAAGCCCTTCTCGAGCCGCAGCGAGGCCAGCGACTTTAGGGGTATAACTTTTCCCATTTAGGACGGTTAGGGAGGGGTTTAGAGCTCCTCCAAAGAGGAGCTTGAGGGCTCTCCAATACAGGTCCGGGTTAAGGTAAGGTTTAGGTTAGCTTTAGGGGGAAGAGGAGAGGAATCTCTTTGGATGTTGCCGCTCGATTCAGTTGTGTGGTGCGCATAAAATATGCAGGCTGGGCTGGTTGTTGTAAGCTGAAATACTCGAAATAGTGGTTTGCGTTGTGGGATTACCTGTGGAAAATCTTGGGGCTGCGTTTTCAACAATACCTATGGGAGTTGTTGATGTGAAATGAGGATGATGGTGAACCACAGCGAATTGCTGACCGGGGGTCATCAATCCCCCCCGTGCTCCACCCTGAGATTCAGAGACACCACGTGGGCAAGACCCTGAATCTAGATGCGCAGTCAAACAGTTCACTAGATCTCGGGACAGGAAAGGGACGTGGAGAGATTTACTATCCAGAAGCGATTTGATACATCACC